GGAAGCCTTCTGAGCATGTCTAGCTTAATGCCTTTGCCTTCTAGAAATCAGCTCGGAAACAGGCACCTCCTTCACAGAAGTGTTCCCCTCTGTTGTGTGTATGTGTGTGCTTAGGTGTTTGTGTGTGTGTGTGTGTGTGTGTGTGTGTGTCTGTGTGTGTGTGTGTGAAGAGCTCAGCAGAGAGGCGAAGTGGGAGGCTCAGGCCTTGCCCATGGCCGCCCCCTGTGCTGGCCACCTGCCCCACCGCGGCCCCAGTTGCTATACAGATGTCGTCTCTTCCTGTTCACAGTCACCCTGCAGGTGGGGAAACTGAGGCTTAGAGTGGTTATGGAGCTTGACCACGGTCACACAGCAGCTGCTGAGCCACAAGGCTGGTCGTGGACTTGGTGGCTTGTTTTAGGATCTCTAGATCCCCGTTTCTTCTCTTTCGTCCTTTCTCTCCCTGACTTCTCCCTCCTCCCTCCCTTTCTTCTCTGCTTTCTCCCTCCTTTCCTCTCTCCCTCCTCTTCTTCTTCCCTCCCTTCCTTCCAGACTTCCTTCCATTATGTATATATGTAACTAAAATTAAATTTCCCTCTTGGAGAATAGGTGATTTGAACTTTCCAATAGAAACTTTGTAACTTATTAATTAAACGTAATTTTTAATTTACCGAAAAGTTGCAGAAACATTAAAGAAATTCCTAGTTGCCCTTCGCCCAGAATCCCCAATTATTAACATTTTACATTTGCTTTATCATTCTCTCTCTCTGTCTCTCTCTCTATATTTATATATAAATATACATTTTTTTCTGAGCCATTTGAGAATAAGTTACAGACATCATGCCTGTTTACTTCTAAATACTACAGTGTTTATATTTCCTCAGAAAAAGGACATTTCTTACACAGACATACAGTTATCAAAATCAGAACATCAACATTGACTCAATACTCTTAATAAATCTACAAACTTAATATAAATTTTGCCATTTGTCTCAGTAATGTCCTTTATAGCAGGAGAAAAACAGATTTACCACAGGTCTTTTTTTTTTTTTTTTCCCCCCAAAGCCCCGGTAGATAGTTATATGTCATAGCTGCACATTCTTGTAGTTGCTGTATATGGGACTCGGCCGCAGCATGGCTGGAGAAGCGGTGTGTAGGTGCGCACCCGGGATCTGAACCCGGGCCGCCACCAGCAGAGCGCGTACACTTAACCGCTAAGCCATGGGGCCGGCCCATCCCACAGGTCTTAAATAACCCATAATGTTCCCACTGTGCTTTGCTGTAACCCATGCTGTGGAAGACCTGCCATCCAAGATCTGATTTAGCCAGAGCTGCTGGGTGGGTGTGGGCTGTGTGTACCAGGTCTCAGGGCAGAGGATAAAGCATTTGACATTGTCTGTCTTTAAGTGAATTCCAGGATATTGGCCTCTAGATGGTGGTTAGAAACTACAGTCTCCCTAATTTTTCTTTCCAGCTCTGATCCCACGCACAGGAGGAGTCCTAAGACACACTGTCCCCAAACACACAGCTGAGCTGTGTCATATATAACCCGTCACTTGAGTGCAAAGCCCACCATGTTTCTTAGCTCCATAGCTGCGTTACACCTGAGGCTGGTCACAGGCTGGCTGGATAATGTCTCCTCTAAGTTGTAGAAAAGACACCTTACACCATCACCCTGCCAGTGTTCCTTGGTGCCCTGTCTTATTAGCTGTGTGACGTGGCAGGGCACGTCTCAGGCCTCAGTCTCCTTGTTTTAAAATTGTATGGAGAAAGTAATACTGATCCCAGAGATCCACTCTGAAGATCATAAGAGATAATACGTGTGTGTGGCACAGAGCTTGGCACATAGCAAGAGACCCATAACAATGAGTGATGGTTATTATCAGGTTTGGTGTCTTTGTTGTTATTCTCTAGGAAAGGTGTGTGTTATTGAGCTAACACAGTGGGAGACGTTCATCATCAAACCCAGTGTTTCCCACTTTTTCTCGCTGTGAGATGTTTGTGAGACCAGCCTGTAGACTCCTGTGCCCTTTCCTGGAATTCTGGAGTTGGAGGATCCTGGGGGGCCCAGGAATCTGTTTCTGACGAGTGTTCACAGTGCTCCGGGTGACTCTCAGGATTAGTAAAAGGTGGCGCCCTTGAAGGGCGAGTTCGTTTTGTGGGAGAAGAGAAGGAGGGGCATTTTTGGCAGAGTCCACGGTGTAAGCATCTTGGACACACCACTGTTTAGGGGTTCCTGCACCTGTGCCACAGTATGTTCTTGCCGTAATGTTTTTGTGTGAGAACTTAATTATTGTATTTTTCCTTGACATCTTATTTAATGATTTAATTCAGTTGAGTAAGTTGTTCCCTCTGTTTTCTACTTGACTTTTACCTTGTTACAGCCCCATACCCTATTGATATGTGTAAAAGTGACACAGGAGGCTTTAAAAGGACATTTATTCTACTTTTAAGTTTTCATCCTCTTCACTCGTGAGTTTGAGGTATTTTTTTCTTATTCTGTAATTGTCATTTAGAGTACGAATTTTTGACTCATTATTTCAATGAGAGGTGACTCATTGAGAGCAATAATAACAGCACTGTGTCTGCCCCTGGGAAAATAGGCATTTCAGGAAAAGAGAATATTGAAAACATAAAATATGTGGAGCATGACATCAAGTCTCAGACTGTGTTCTTGAAGAGAGTGACCGTTGTTTGCTTTGACCCATGTGGGGGTGTACGTCAGCCCTCCCTAGCCCTGGGGTCACGGGACCAGAGGGCATTAAAATTGCGGAGTGTGGAGCACAGTCTCTGAGCAGGATTTGCAGGAGATCTGGGAGCCCCGACATAGGATGAGCTTCCCCAGAGCCTGTCCTCTTGGGCCTGGAACAGATCACTCCTTCACAGCTGAGTGGCTTTTAGGTCTTTAAGGGCCTCTTATTAAGATGTAAATATGCCTGGAGGAATCACTCTATACCCACAGGGGGGTAAAATTTTATCTCAGGGATGAGTTGATCAAATTGGCTTCCAACCTGGAGAGTGAGGGTGCCATGGGTCGAGGGCTGCGAGGGGGCAGCGCAGTGTAACAGGGTCTAAACCCTTGCTTTCCTTCAAGTTTTACGCAGAAACAACTCTGTCTGATGTTTTTTAGTTTTGTATTTTTTAAATGAAGTTGATGTTTAACAAAATTAATTCTGAGTGGCTAGGTGGAAGTGCTAAGACTGCAAACCATGAATTTGAACCTACTGACCAGTGGGTTTTCAATGTATAGTCTTTGATAAAAGCTTAAGTTGAAATTGAGATCTGAATTCTTTTTTTTTTTTTTTTAAGAAAAGCATAGGTTTTTTTTTTTGTACCATTTTTTTTGTGTGTGTGAGGAAGATCAGCCCTGAGCTAACATCCATGCCAATCCTCCTCCTTTTTTTTTTTGGCTGAGGAATACTGGTTCTGAGCTAACATCCATGCCCATCTTCCTCCACTTTATGTGGGACGCCGCCACAGCATGGCCTGACAAGCGGTGCATGGGTGCATGCTGGAGATCTGAACCCGGGCCGCCAGCAGCAGAGCACGCGCACTTAACAGCTACACCACAGGGCCAGCCCTGAGATCTGAATTACCGACATTTTAATTTTTATGTTTTATAAATGAAACAGAATCAGCTCATTTTTCTGTATTCTGTCTTTACTCAGATTTTGCATAAGATAGGAAGTCCAGACAACAGTACAAGAGATTTCCTTGGGCATCTCCCTCAAACAATTTGCAAATCACCATTTGGGGGTATAATTTTTAATTTTTAAAAGTCTGCTTTCCACCTAATGTGATGGCTGGTCATAATTGTGTTCTGTTTTTTTCTCCTGTTTTTTGTTTTTCCCTGTCTTCCAATGGGTTACTTGAAGATTTTTCAGAATTCCTTTCTGATTTATCTATAGTGTTTTTAGTGTATATCTTTGTCTAGTTTTTTTTTAGTGGCAGTTGTAGGTGTTGAATATTATTTTTATATATTATAATATATCTGGTGTCAACAATTTGATCAGTTTGAGTAAAGTATAGAAACCTTTCTTCCCTTTACATGTCTTTACTCTCCCTCATTTATAATATCCTCGTCTCTTTACATTCATTGAGTACCACATGAAGCAATGTTATAATTTTGCTTTAAATGCAATTCATAAAACTCAAGAGAAGGAAAGTCTACTGTGTTTACCTATATTTTTATTCTTTCCATTGTTCTCTCTCCTTTCTGAACAGGAACAGAAGTCTTCCTGTTCTAAGAGTCCTTTTTTAAAAAAGATCATTTCTTGTCTGTTTCAAAAACTTCCCTTAGTCATTATTATTTTTTTCTTAAAGTTCATTTGTAATGACTGTTTTTTTTTCTTTTGAGGGAGATTGGCCCTAAGCTAACATCTGTTACGAATCATCCTCTTTTTATCCTTTTTTCTCTCCAATGCCCCAGTAGATAGTTGTATGTCATAGTTGTACATCCTTCTAGTTGCTCTATGTGGGACGCCACCTCAGCATGGCTTGATGAGCAGTGCATAGGTCTATGACCGGGATCTGAAGTGGTGAACCCTGGGCCGCTGAAGCGGAGCATGTGAGCTTAACTGCTCCACCACCAGGACGGTCCCCCTTAGTCATTATTTTAGGATAGGTCTAAGACAAATTCTCTTGGTTTGCCTTCATCTAAGAATATCTTGATTTCCGTTTCATTCTTGAAGGATATTTTCACTGGATATAGAATTCTGAGTTGACAGGTATTTCAGTACTTGAAGAAAGATGTTGTACCAGTTCCTCTGGCCACCATAGTTTCTGATGAGAAATCTGTTGCCTTTCAAATATTTTTCCCTATAGGTGAGATAAGTGTTTTTCTTTCACTGCTGTCAAGATATTTTCTTTTTTTTACTTTTATGAAGTTTGACTGTGATGTGTTATGGCATTGATTTCTTTGGATTTATCGTATTCCCAAATATTGACTCAGCTTTTTGAATCTGTAGTTTTGTGTCTTTTGCCAAGTTTAGGAAATTTTCAGCCATTGTATCTTCAAATACTTGATTTCAATGAACCAAATTTCAATCATTTATTATAGGTGTACAGGTTCCTGAGGCTCTGCTCATTTTCTTTTCAGTCTGTTTTCTTTATGATGTTCAGATTAGGCAATTTCTGTTGTACTATATTCTTGTTTCCTGATCATTTCCTCAGTCCTCTCTATCTGTTGCTGAGCTCATCCATTGAGCCTCTTCAAATTTTTTTGTTGTATTTCTTAGGTCTAAAATTTCCATTTGGTTCTTTTCATACCTTCTGTTTCTTTGCTGAGATTTTCTATTTTTTCATTTGTTTCAAGTGTTTATGTAAATGGTCATTGAAGCATTTTTATGATGCTGCTTTGAAATCCTTGTCAGGTAATTCCAACATCTGTGTCCTCTCCATGTTGGCATCTCTCGATGATCTTTTCTCATTCAGGTTAAGTTCTTGGTATGATGAGTGATTTTTGATTGTGTCTTGGACATCTGGGTCTTATTTAAATCTCCTATTTTACCAGATCTCTTCTGACCCTGTGTTGGCGGGGAGAGAGGGCGGATGCATTGTTGTTGCTAGGTGGAGGGTGGAAGTCCATGTGCCCCATATGGCCCCACTGACACCACCCAGCAGAGGGTTGGGGCATCTCATTACAGCCTAAGAAGAGCAGAAGTCTAGGTTCCTCACTCAAATGTTGCAGATAAGGATGAGGCCACAGTTTTTTCTGTAGTGTTTGGCTGGAATAGAGTGTTTATTACATAAAAGTTTTCTGTCCTGCTATGTTTCCCCTTTCCTGGTCCTTGGCTAGGAAAAGTAGCTTTTTCTTAGGGCTTTTTTTCTGTCTTTACCTTTTGGTGTTTTTAGATTGTTGGCATCTCTGGCACCAAGTCTAGGATATGTGAAGCAATCGAAAACAACGTCAGCAAATCCCGCTGAAGTCACCATTGTGTCTTTGCTTGGGTCCCAAAGTTCCTAGCTGGTTTGCCTTCTTCTCTCTGCCTTTAACAGTCTTCTTATGTTTCTTTTATACATAATGTCCAAGGTTGTTAGCTGTACATAGCAGAAAGAACAGTGATAAGTACATGTACTCCATATTGTCTTAGAACTGGAAGTCTCCTTGCCATAGTATTTTGAGTCTAGAAAGTCAGACACCTTTCCCTAGGATTCTGTGACCTACTGTATTGGCAGCAATGACAGAGTCCCCTACAGAACTCTACTTCAAATCTGCATATGTAATGAAAGCTGAATGTTGTTTGTAGCCCTTCACTGTGGAGCCTACTGTCCCAGTGAAGCACCATCACTGGAAGTTCTCCATAATGGTATAACAGCTGGGGTATGCTACCCGTTCTGTCTGACAGCCTCCTTGACTCGGGTGTACTTTCCTGTAACAGGTGAAATACATATGGGAGGTCAAAAACATTTTTATATGGAAACCCAGAGCATGCTCATTGTTCCCAAAGGAGAGGATCAAGAAATAGATGTCTATGTGTCCACACAATTTCCCAAATACATACAGGTAACATGGGGCCACTGTGGAGGGGATATGGCTAATTGGTTTCTGCTAGCAAAATATACCAAGAGCAATTAGAGACAAAAGTGTTATTTCAGAAACTGAAGGAATTAGGAGTATTAATAACTAATCCATTTGTGTATTAATAACCATACAATTGCAAAACTTTTAAAAGAGTATAAAAGTAGCGGCCTCCTGTTTGTGGATTTGTAATTTTAAAACCAATTATGGAATCAGCAGGTCTCTTGCTGTACTCTTGACACTGTTAAGAATATTAAAATAAAAAATGGCCATCCCTGGTGGCCTAATGGGTAAGTTTGCCACTCCTTTGGCGGCCCGGGCTCAGTTCCCAGACGCGGACCTACACGACTCATCTGTCAGTGGCCATGCTGTGCTGGCAGCTCACATACAAAAAAAGAGGAAGATTGGAAGATTGGCCCCAGACATTAGCTCAGGACAAATCTTCCTCATCAAAAAAAAAAAAAGAATACCAGAGAAAGGAGAAAGGCCTACCCGCCAAAGCTTATAGTACCTAACTCACATAAAGCAGTTAGGAAGCATTTTGGACAGAATGCAACTAAGTGCAGAATCACCTAGGTTAGAATTTACACAGGTGGGAGAATTAAGAGAATAAGGATTTGGTGGGTTCTATAATCATCCAGGAAGTCCCATGCAGAACAAATCTTCAGTTTGGATTCACAGTGAGAGTGAGGTTTGTCTAGACAGTGAGAAGAGAGGCCATTTCCAGATCATTCCACACCAAGAGCAAGTGCCACTCATTTGTTCCTTCATTCACTCGTCCTGTCTGCAAACACTTGTTGCCTGTGTCCTATGTATCAGGCAGCATGCATGTAAGAAAGAGGAAAGGCACAAAGATGCCCACGCTGGAACGAAGGATGCATTTAGGCAGGATAGTTTAAGCGTCAGGGTGAAAGTACAGGGCACAAAGCAGAGGGGTCTTGATTCAGTGGGTCATAAGGAGCCAGTGTCGTGACCAGAGCAGGTGGGAATGGGGGACTGTGGAGACTGAGGCTTTTAGAAGGCGGAACAGTAGGAAGGGCCTGGCAAGCCCCACCCCAGCCCTGTTCTGCTCCTCACGCCTGGCGTGACGTTGAGCCCATCACTTCACCCCTCTGGGGTCCCCGTCTATATAAATGCCCTCTAAACAATAGGATGGCAAAGAAGAGCAAGGCCTGCATCCGGGGAAGACCCGCTGGCCAACTTCAGCAGGAATCCAAATGGGAGGTGAGAAGAACCTGCAGGGAGACAGGACGATGCAGGGAAAGACCCCAACATCTCACTGCTTCAGGAAACACACCCCTAGGGATCAGTGTGGAAAGGACACTTGGGTGTGGTTCATGGGGAAAATTTTTAAAAATTTGTTAACACAAAAACATCTCATTGATATTGAAAAGACTACTTAATATTAGTGATAGTTTTGGCAATGTCATTATAGCCAAATACCACTGAGACCAGGCATGGATGCATGCCCAGGTCATTGGAAATCATCCCGTTATTAGTATAAGCACACAGTTTGTGTAGCATGGGCGTTATGGAACCAGTGGGCCAGGGCTGTCCCCCTCCCTTGCTACAGGTGGGTCAGATTAACAAGAACTGTTACCCTTCACAGGACATAGTGGCTTCGACCCTGAAGCTCCCAGCTAACAAGGTCATGTGTCATGTAAAGCGACTTGGTGGGGCGTTCGGGGGAAAAACAGTCAAAACCGGCATCATGGCAGCCGTCACCGCATTTGCCGCAAACAAGTAAGTGGAGAAAATCTGCTAAACAGACAAACATAAACGAGATCATGCCGAATATTCACAACATAGGGGTTAAGGAGAAAGGATCTGGGTCAACATTATTGAAAATTACATAGAATATACAAATGCGCCAACAACCTTGTTAACAGCATCTTTATCTTATACTGTCAAACTACATACTATAAGAACCAAAATGAGAATTGATTACTGAAAAGAACAAAAACCACAGTAAATATACTGTAATACCTGGAGAGTAGACAGAAACAGGTCCTGAAATGGTAGAGGTTACTTGTCCATAGCACCTGTGAGATATATATCTCAAAAAGTTCATATATTCATATAATATATATTCCCTTGATTGAAATGGAGATTATGCTTTTGTTATGCTTAGCTTTATTTGTATTACCATTTTCCTTTGAGAATCTCAAAACATTCCCATAGGAAATTGTCTTTGGAGCAGCCACACCTACAAGGCTTAATTTCTCTGCTGAGTGACGTAGGTCAGTTCCTGTGTCCATGACACAAAAGACCCTGATTCTAGACCTGTCCTCTCAGGGAGCACTTGGCAGGCAGAGACCGCTTGAGTTCCTCTGTTTGTAACCAGTCTATACTGTGGCCTTCGGACTGTTCGCCTATGGCAGAGGCTGTTCCCATAGTGGGAAATACCCCCCGAGCAATAGACTCCAGGGGGAGGCTATGGCGCCCAAGAGCCCTCCTCCCATAAGAAGTGAATACTAGGCGTTGTGCCCTAACCCAGCGGGAGGGAGACCACAGTGTAGGCCTGAGATCAGCACAGCTGGGCTCAGGGAGTAGTTCTGGTAGGTGTGCGGACACCGCTCAGGCTCTCACCAGGTGTTATATGAACCCCCGGTAATACCTACTTGGTGGAAGAGTTTGCCTCTCTTGCTTTCTTTTCTGTTTTAGACACGGTCGTGCAGTTCGCTGCATTCTGGAACGAGGAGAAGACATGTTAATAACTGGGGGCCGCCACCCTTACCTTGGAAAGTACAAAGTGAGTAGAGGAAGAAGGGGGGCGGAAAGGATTCATGTTGTAAGTAGGACATTCCATAAGTGCAGGGCGCAGCATTTGGCTACTCATCAACCAATTGTGCTTCCATGGAACTTTCCATTCCTTGTGCTGATTGTTCAGTGAAGCTTTTCTGCTTTGCTCAAAGATGTCAGTTTGTGAAAAGTACTAGCTGGCATTGGCTGGTGCAGAGCAAATAACTGGAAAACACACGAGGATATGCATCTGTGAAAGTAGATCTGATAACCGTACTGTTTCCACATATTTAAAAACAGAATGATTCCCACAAGAATAATGTTATGTGAGATTGCAATTATTTGCCAACAAGTTCCACATTTTTCAATATATCGAGAGTATTTTTGTAAAACTCTGTTCCAGAAGTTTCTAGAAAAATTTCCATAGGAGAAAATAATTATTTTTTGCTTTATAAGAAATAAGTAGTTGTCAGAATGGACTAACTGCTGTAATAAACAAGTAAAAACTCTCAGAGACTTAAACCTTTATTGTGTTATTTCTTGCTCAAGTAACAGCCCAGTGTAAACAGTGAGGGTTGGGAGTGGGGAGAGGAGAAGACTCTACATTAACTACATTTAACTACATTAAAGAAAATTAAATATCTGTTCCACAGTTGCATTAGCTGAATTTCAAGTGCTCAGTAACTACATGTGGCTAGTGGCTGCCATATTGGACATGCAGGTGTAGGACATTGCCATCATCACAGAAAGTTCTACTGGATAGCACTGCCCTAGGGACTCCAAGTCCCCTACTGGACCTACTGCACAGGGCAGAAGACAAGGGGGGAGAGAGAGCAGGAGTGTTATGTGAGAGGTGTTTCAGGCACCAGGCCTATAAGTGTGGACCTTGCCTCCATCCATATGTTATTGCCCAGGACTTTGCCACCTCACTGCAAGGGAGGCTGGGAAATGCAGTCTCTCGTGTGCCCAGGATTCGTTGAACACAGCATTGTCTCTTCCACAACTGGTGTACCTGCATACATATTTTTAGAAGATAATGAATGTGTCTATTTCACCTCACATTCACTCTAAGCTATATTTTGAATTTGCTTTGGTTCAACAAAGATTTATTAGAGTAACCTGTGTCCTGACAGAGATTACATTTTGGGAGTTGAGGGGGAAATAAGACTTACACACATGAAGTCATTATGAAAACATAATAATCTGGGGTTAAAAGATGAGGCACAGAGTAAACCTTTGGGGAGAGATGAATATGAGCTTGAGTATGTACAGGAGACATCTTAGAGAAAGTGACACATAGATGGCCTTCAGGAATGGATGGCAGAAAGAGGGCGTCCAGGTGGTGAAAGGAGGAGGAGCCAACATGCAGAAGTGGGAGGAACATGGTGTGTTTGATCAGGGGAGGAGTACAAGAGGGGGAAGAGTACACAGAGTGCTTACTGAAGAGGGGTGCAAACGAGGATTGGTCAGGTTAAGTGGTGCAGACTGAGAGGAGCCTGGAGTCCCAGGATGGGGGTTTAACCTTGATCTCACGAGAGAGAGTGAGACTGAGCAGATGCTTGACCAGTCAAGTGTCGTAACCAAACATGGGTGCATCGGGGAGGGTGATATGATGGCACTAGGCCAGCTGGAGAGGAGAGAAGGTGGAGGCAGGCAGACCACCAGGGGCAGATGATGCAGTCAGACATGAAGCTGTTGGGGTCTGAGCTATGATAGCAAGATGCAGAAGAAGAGACGGGTCCAAGAGCCATGATAGTATGAAATAAAAGAGGAGTTGGTGACAAACTTGGCAAAATAAAATGGAGACTAGAACCACTAACATGACTTGGAAGTTTCTAGTATAAAGAGCCAAGTTGCAAGTAAGAACCAATCTGGAAGGACAACGATGAGCTTGTTTGTGTAAATGTGGGGAAAGAAGTGACAACAGGACATTTAAGTAGAAATGTCCTTCACCAATATGGGACTTTATTGAAAGGACTGGATTATAGTTATAGAAGCCATCAGCATAGCAGTGATTAAAACTATGAGAAAATAATGTTTTCTAATGGAGAATAGTGTGAGGACAGGAGATGATAATAATATTTATGATAGTAATATTAATAATTTATATTTAGAACACGAGCTGTGTTTCAGTCACTTACCTATTAGTTTCCATGCATTGCCTTATTCATGGCCACTTCACAGATAGTCAGAGAGGCTGTATAGCTTGCCTGGATCGCAGAGCCAGCACTCCAGCTCAAACTGCTGGAGTTCAGAGGCCGTGCCCTTGACCACGACTTTGCTTTGAATTTGGTTCCGTTTGACAAAAATCATTAAAGGGAACTTTAATAAGTTCAGAGATAGTGAAGCAGAGCGCAGCCAGAAAACAGGGATATTGGATACACCTTAAAGGCAAGGATGACATATATTTAAAAGACCTCCAGCAGCACCATATGCTGCTGGGAGTTTTGGTTCTATTGGGCCCTATGAGAAACTGTGCAGAGTATACTAGGTGCAGGCCACCGGATGCGGAGATTAGGGGGTTAGGTGGCTTTAGGGGAGAAAGTTTAGGTAGAAATGTGAGGATGGGAGCCAGAATCCGCCTGTGGCAAGAAGGAGAGGTCAAGAACTAGGCAGTTGGTTTGCGTTAGGAGGAGAGCAAAGGATTGATTGACTAGTAGTGATGAATGGACTTGAGGAGTTTTTGTCTGTTTGTTTTGGTTTTATAGCTTTCTCGACCCTTCCTTTTTTATTATTAGTTTTAGTTGTGGCAAAATACACACACATAAAATTTCTGTCTTAACCATTTCTAAGTATACAGTTTGGTGGCATTAGCACATTTACATTGTTGTGCAACCATCACCACCCTCCATCTCTGGAATTCTTTTCTTCTTGTAAAGCTGAAACTCTGCACCCATTCAGCAATAACTCCCCATTCCTTCCTCCCCACAGCCCCTGGGGACCACCGTTCTACTTTCTGTCACTAGGAATTTGACTACCCTAAGTACCTCAAATCAATGGAATCAAACAGTATTTGTCTTTCTGTGTCTGGCTTATTTCACTTAACATAACTCCCTGAAAGTTCATCCCTGTTGTAGCATGTGTCAGAATTTCCTTCCTTTTTAAGACTGAATGAAATTCCATTGTTTGTACATTCCACATTTTGTTTATCCATTCATCCATCAGTGGACACTAGGTTGCTTCTACTCCTTGACTTTTGTGAATGATGCTGCTATGAACATACGTGTGCAAACATCTCTTCGAGACCTGCTTTCAGTGCTTTTGGATAAATACCCAGAAGTGGGATTAGTGGATCATACTATAGTTCTATTTTTAACTTTTTGAGGAACTACCATACTGTTTTCCATAGCAGCTGCACCATTTTTCCTTCCCACCAATAGTGCACAAGGGTTCCAATTTCTCCATATCCTCACAGACACGTATTATTTTCTGTTACTGGTTGTTTGTCTTTATAGTAACCATGCTGATGGGTGTGAGGTGGTATCTTGTGGTTTTGGTTTGCATTTCCCTAATGATTAGTGATGTTAAGCATCTTTTCATCTGCTTGTTGGATATTTTTATATCTTCTTTGGAGAAATCTCTATTCAAATCCTTTGTCCACTTTTTAATCAGGGTGTTTGTTTTTTTGTTGTTGAGTTGTAGGAGCTCTTTATACACACTGCATATTAACCCCTCTCCAATATATGATTTGCAAATATTTTTTCCCATTCTCTGGGTTGCCTTTTCACTCTGTTGATTGTGTCCTTTGATACATGGAAGTTTTTCATTTTTATGTAGTCCAATTTATCGATTTTTTCTTTTCATTGCCTGTGCTTTTGGTGTCATGTCCAAGAAATCATTGCCAAATCCAATGTCATGAAGCTTTTTGCTTATGTGAGGGGTGTTCATAAGTGACGAAAAAAACATTAGAGATATGTGGTCCCCAGCACCAGTATCTAATGTCAGTTTTCTTTCCCCAGGCTGGATTCATGAACGATGGCAGAATCTTGGCCCTGGATGTGGAGCATTACAGCAATGCAGGTGCCTCTATGGATGAGTCACTATATGTAAGTGTTTTAAGGAACAAGTTCACATTCTGTAAAGTGTTACGTAACATGATTTAATTCAGAAAATGTTCAATAGTTAAATAATATTTAAGTATAAAGCATAAAGACCCTTATTGCAGGGATAGCCGTGTGTTACTGGTGCCCCCAGAGTGAGCCTCGAGAGATTGGCGAAGTCTATGTCTGTGTGTTATCTCCATGTTTCCCATACTTAGAGCTCTTTTTGCAAATGCAAGCATTAAACCTCAACCACAGTGCTATTGACATTCTGGACTGGATAATTCTTTGTTGTGGGGGCTTTTCCTGTGCATTGTAGGATATTTACCAACTTCCTAACCTCCACCCAGCAGATGTCAGTGGCACAGCTACCCTCCAGTCTGATGAATAAATGACAAGTATTAGATATATTGGAATATATGAGGAAGCTATTTGGTTTAAAACTCATTCACCTGAACTTGTTTTTCCAAAAAGGCCTGACGTGGCCTGTTGAGCAAGAGTGATGCCCTTAAAGATAGAGATGTAGCTCCCCGCCCCCATATCGCCATTTATTTAAGGGTAAGCATCTCTTCCTGGAAACTAAGGATTAATTACCAACCTGCTATGCTTGCCTTATGACCACTGACTTTTGTGCCAGCTAAGCATCTCATGACAGTAGTAAAGAGATACTCCTGTTATATGTGATGTATTCTCTTTGTTCCAAGATGGTATGTAACCACTCTCTACACCCCACTTCTTGGGTGTGCTTCCTTCCTTGGGGAAGGAGGCCCCCCAGGCTATAGTCCTCAGATCTGGCTCATCATAAACTCACTTCAAATTTTGATTTATAGATTGATTATAGATTATTTGTGTCAACAAGTCTTAGCAACCAAAAATGTCTCCAGACATTGCCAAATGTCCCCAGAGAGAGAAGGGGCAAAATTGCCCCTGGTTAACCAATGCTTTAGACCAAATGCCAAGACATTTTTTCCTGTTTTCCAAGATATTTTATTCATTATGTTCTGTAGACCCAGTGTTTAGGGCCTGTTGATGCTTCGAAGGCTTTTGGAACATTTGAAACCTAGAAGAAATACATTAGCCCTAAAATATGAAAATAAAAAATAATGATTTCAAAAGATAAATTATCAAGTCTTTCAAAATTATTTCATAGTAAAAATGCATTTAATTGGGGACATGGGTCTGTTTTAGCTTGTGTGATGTGTAGAGAGGGTCGGTCGGTCATTTCTGGCTGGGTTTTATTCTGAGGTCTCAGAATGGTAGTCAGGTACAGGAGGATGAGGGTCTTGTCACATCGACTCTTGATTTCCCCAGGTGACGAAACAGGGAGTTATGAAAGTGGAAAATGCTTACAAGTTTCCCAACCTGCGCTGCCGGGCCCGGGCGTGCAGAACCAACCTTCCATCCAACACGGCTCTGCGCGGGTTTGGCTTCCCCCAGGCGGGGCTGATCACCGAATCCTGCATCACGGAAGTCGCAGCCAGATGTGGGTTGTCCCCTGAGAAGGTAATGCTGAATTAGTCTCACACAGGAAAGGCCTCGAATTCCAGCGGTGGGAGGGCCATGGGGGTCATGCAGGTTGAGGAATTTGAGATCCAGAGGGGCGAAACAATTTGCTGAGGGAACCCAGCTGACTAGTTAGTACAGAGCCAGGACTCCACAGTGCAGAGGTTCTGGTCTTACTCGGGCTCCTTCCCCAACATCCTGGAGACAGAGGATACTGAGGGGCGAGTGTTGGATTCTAACGTGTTTAGTGAGAAGTCTCCACGGGTTGGGGGCATAACTGCTGCCAACAGGTTCTGTCGAACCCTCTTTCCCTGCTTCCTTAACATCTCAAGCAGCTGTCACAAGGTTTCAGTCATTTCAGTTACTGAAATTGTCTCCCGTCTGTTCTTTAAGTCTCTGTCCCAATTTCATTCATTAACAAGCTCTGTTCCCTTCCACTTGGAATCCTGGAGTGGAGTTAGGATCTGGAGACGCCGGGTGTGCTCTGACCCCTGCTCCCTCTGCTGTGGTGCTGGGGTGGGGGTGAGAAGGACCAGCTGGCCTCTCCCCAGCCAGCTCTCTGTCCTCTCCTTGGTTCGCTGTAGCGACTTTCCCTGCATGGTGTCTGGGGCTCCATCTCTGCTAGCTCTCTCAGCAATCGACAGCCCCCTGTGAGGGCGGGCTAATCTCCCAGTGGCCCTCAGCTGGCACCTCAGGCAGAGTTCCCTGATGGCCACGCCTCTTTGCCCCCTGCTGTAGCAATCCTTGGAAAGCCCCAGTCCCCAGTTCCTCTGCCCTCTCCCTCTCCAACATTGGACTCTGCGGCCATAGGCAGGAGCCATCTTCTTTATGTCTCTTGAACTTGTGAGGGGTCCTTGCCCCTCCCTTCCTGGCCATCTCATCACAGCCTCTGTCCCTGACGTTGTGTCACTTTTGGTAGCACGAGGGAGGAGAGCCAGGTAATGACCTCCCTTCATCCCGGGGAAGTTAGAGGAGACAATAAGCACCCTTAAAAACACTGCTCCCCCAGTGCCACAGCTCAGTAATTTCCAGTCTTCCTTTTATAGTGATCGGGGAATGTTTTTTGGGGGGATGGGGAGAGTACATGTCTGTAATGGCCCTGTCAGCTTGGGAGGTGGCTGGCCACATCGCTGAGAGTTTTCTCAACCGAGAATGTGAGGTACTTGGCGCCTTTAATTCTCGGCCAGAAGCATACATCCCCAATTCTGGGAATTCAGGAAGAATTCTACTCATGGCTTCAGATGTCTGCAATAGAATCTTTTAATATATTCTTCATCCTAGTTATGGGTTATATTTAAATGAACTTTCCTATTTTCCTGTTTGGGAAGTGAGTGGTCTTATCTTGCCCCAGCATCTGAATGATCCAAATCCTGTAGCTTATGTGGCCTGGAGATTAAGTTCAGCATGACCTTCCAACAGACATTCACAAACACAACTAGAATTAAGAGTACAGTGTGCCGGACTGGGTTGAGTTACATAAGACATATAAGGAAAGGATTCCTTCCTTTGAACTTACACAAGAGCAGCACAGAAAGCATGTAAGTGCTAACATATTTGATAGAGGCTCCGAGCAGGGGAAGATGAGACCATTATGCATGGGCAAGGCTTCAACAAGGAGTGATAGCACTCAGTCTGGGCCTAATAGGGTGAGCAGAATTTGACTAGGAGGACGTGGACGGAAGAGACTAGGTCTGCCGAGTCCCCCCACCTTTCCATCTCTTCTTTTGTAGGTGCGAACGATAAACATGTACAGTGAAATTGACCAAACACCCTACAAACAGGAGATTAATGCCAAGAACCTGATCCAGTGTTGGAAGGAATGTATGACCAAGTCTTCCTACTCCCTGAGGAAAGCAGCCGTAGAAAAATTCAACTCAGAGAATTACTGGAAGAAGAAAGGGCTGGCCATCATCCCCCTGAAGTATCCTATCGGCTTTCCCGCAGTTGCTCTTGGTCAGGTCAGTTCTCCAAACAGAAACATCAACAGACGTTGAGGAATTTTCCATTACTGTGGAAAGCCATATGGTTGCAATGCCTGATTGTCACCCTCACCAATGTTGTGCTCAATCGAACTAGCCTTTCTCCAGAGGAGACGAGAGCTCCTTTGCCCTCGTCCCCAGGGTTGGTGACAAGCATTCTTGGGGGAAATCGGGAGACCTGGTGTCTACTCCTGGCCCTGGCATTAAGCAGCTGAGTCAACTCGCTCTGGGCCCCACATTGCTCGAGTGTGAAGTGAGAAGGTGGGAG